TTACGGAAATAGCTGAACATTTTTCATTGGGTAAAAAAGATATTCATCCGCGAAATTTGTGATTGTAACCTCATATTTCTATTGACTAATCTAAACTTTTAATGCACTGTAATTCGTTAAATGCCTACATTTAAAATTATTCTTTCTTTTTAATTGCTGGTTTTTAAGCAGTTTTGAGTGAGAACTACTTTGCGTTCTTAGGACTGTTAGGAAATTCTGTGTTAGACCGTGGATGTTAGCTATGTATTTACTGATCTTACGATCAGAAAATACAAAAACATTATCCAGAAGTAAAAGCAAGAGTACATTTTGCGTACGTGTAAGTTATCTGTCTTTTAAATGACCTCAAATAAGTAGAAAATTCTGATTCAGGGGCAGATGTCTCAAAATCGAGAATGGTGACCAAATTCATTCGCTTAAAATGTTTCTGTTATCATATTCTCAAAACATGTCAAATTTAAAGAAATTAAATAGAACAGTTTTAATTTTGCCTATACGTCTTTATGAAAACTCCCGAAAACGTCCTTAAAATATTGAAAAGAACGATTAAATATCAAATTTATCATTATGCAATGACAGAATGAAATTCATTTATAAAAGTGTTGTTTTTATAATTATTATTGTTGTTGTAGTAAATATCATTTTCAATTTCGCCACAAGATTTTCGAAAGAAAAGAAATATAGCAATTCATGTTAACGAGTTTCTGTCTGAATTGTTAACAATTTTCTTTGATTCCATGTATACAAAAATCAGTTATACACGTTAAAACATTTTAAAACTACAGTCAATTTGTATATTTTAAAACGTAGCCCTGGAATGTTATGAAATGGTGTAAACCCAGAGAAAAACCAACCAGTTTCATTATTAAGATAGATTATTGTCAGTTTCAAACTTCAAACGGATTTGATAAACATCTGAACACTTTTGCTTTCATTTTAATACCAAAACAAAAAAGAAATTAATAAATAAAGAAATAATTAAAAAGGAATTTCTTATTTCTGCGAAAAGTAAATTTGTCATACTCTGTTACAATATTATGAAACTTGTCAAGTTGTTTTGTTATCCTGAAAGAAACCACTAGAATAAAATTGATGCACATATGATCAACGTAGCTAAAAGCTAGAATATCACCCATGGACATAATATTATTTTAAGAACTAAGCATGATCCTAGTCATCCTACCATAGCCTGCAAAACAAAAAGCTTTAAAAACAGAAACGAGACTAGGATGTGTTGCATTGAATTTACAATTATTGAAACGCAATAAGTCCAAAATACTGTGATACATTGCATATAAGCGTTGTAATTAATGGTTCAAACCCCGTCTTGGGCAAGCCGTTGTTTTCTTGAGCATTGCTCAGTAATTTTTAATTCATTCCAGAAACAGAATTTAAAATATGTTTATCAGCTTATAGCTTCCTTCGCAAAAGCACTCAAATAAATTCTAAATTAAAAGTTTGGGAGACGAGAATAGCACATCAAAACACCAGGTCGGTTTATGTTTTTATTATAAGTACCGGTTTCGGGTACATAATAGATTATGTATTAACTAAAAACGACGACTGGGCAAAAAATAAAAGAACTTAAGTTTAGTCCTATCATCAATGATTGCATTTGTATATGAAACTCTTTAAAATATTAAAATGTGCGTTACAATTAATGTACGTAGCATACATTGAAATAGTTTTAGCATCATTTTGGATTGTATTGAAAGTTCAATGAATGATCAACACATAACAACATGCATTATGTGCTTATTTGTTTTCAGTGACACCTTAGCACAGAAGTCACGTTTTCTATTGTTTCATGTCTTTTATTTCATGAATAATATTACCGTTTATAACATTTTAAAGGAATAGGAATGGATGGATTGATTTCTGTCTAATATAAATATTCATCATTTAAAAAGAGGTACCATGACAGTTTTTCTATTGACATCAACCCTATAAGTGAGAAATTCGTGTTTTAAGACACTATTTTTTACTTGAGAAATAAGTTCATGGGCGCCGCCATTATGACGTTCTGTCATTCTCGCGAGACAGACGAGACCGAGATTGTGACGTGTTACACCCACTTCCGGTATAGGTGTACACGCTGGTACAACTGAAATATATCTTGATGAAGAACTTATTAATCTTATTGCGTACATTATATATTATTTATGAAAACATCATATGGAACTGAATTGCTTTAATTAATTAATTGAAGACGCCGCGACATTAATTATCATTTGTCCGATTTTCAAGCTTGCTGATGATCCCACCACATGATTTAAGCAATGACTGCTTAATTTTCAAAGATAAACCATCAATTTAATTTGGGTACTATGAGAAACTTCTTCAAATTGACGATATATCCTTTTATTTTGTACTTAATTTTCGCTAGACAAGCTGTCCGAATAGGGTACATCGCCGGTCATGTATCTTTTTTTCAGCGTAAAATATCAACTAAATCCAATATGCAGAGATCTGCTGAGGACGCGATTTTCCGCCATTGACGCTAAAAATGAGAATGGCGCAGGAAAATCGGCAGCCAGACTAATATCGTATGAAAACAAAACTGTCCGTTAGGTTATTTAGGCACCCAGTCAAAACTGGTACCAACAGCAACAGGTTGCCCATTCCCCTGTAATTACGCATATTCTCGGGTTTATCCAGTTCCCTATAGCTTTTTTCCACGTTATCTACTTACCCAATCCCTTTCCCACACAGATACGCATTTCTACTACCGTAAATTTAATCCAATAAAACAAAAAATCATAAATCTACTTAATATTTAAAATGATTATTGGTAACTGAAAAAAAATGTGTTGCTATTTTATGAAATGCTGTAATTTACAGTATAATTTGACAGGTGTGGAACTTAATTTCCCCTAAGGTCATTCAGTTCACTGATGAAGCGTAAAAAAATAGATGTCTATTTCGTCATTAGAATATTTGACAAGGGTGATTAACCAATCAGGGCAATATTGTGCATGATCAAAAGGTCTGTCAGCACAGAGGCATACAAGGAGCAATAAAAATCGTCAGTACACAGTGTGACAGGAACATTTGGTGCAAATTAGGAACAATGCACAGTATTAGAAGTAGTAAGAACCAGCAATTGTGTGAATAAATTATGCAAATTAGATTTTTGAGCAGCCAATAAAATGTTTTGCCTGCAGTTAATATTAGGCTACGATTACGATGTAAATAAATACCACGCAGCATCATACGTTGACAGACATGTTAACAATTTACTTTTCAAAAGAGTTGCTTATATTTTTGAAATGTGTACATCAATTATAACATATGTTCACACCTTTTAATTTTGAAGTCAGAATCAAACTGCAAAAATATAATTACATGTACTATTAAGAACACGTTTTAGTAGGATTTTTATAATAATGATAATTATCACCGTTCAATAATTAACAGCCAATTATTCGTTGGTGCGTTTGTTTATTTAATTGCATTATTTGATTGTGAAACTTTGTTAAATAAAAACATGTGTATTTATTAAATCTGTAAAATATTGTTTAATTACATTAAGATGAGACTTTAATGAACATAGCATTGTTTGGAGTAACGTGCATCACTGGCCTGAAGTGGTGCGACCGGTAGACGTTAATTTTTTATTTGTTTCTTTATTATTTTTTTTTGATATTGTTACGTATTTTGAACCATAAAAAAAATCTCCTCTTCACCTCCTGTGAAAATTAAATTGTCTGGTCAATACTTTATTACATTAATATTTCGCTACGATTCAACTAGATTTATCATAAATCTAAAGATGTGGGGAAATGACGCGCACCTGTTTTTATACGGCCAATACACAAACATGGCCGCGCCCACTGATTTGTCGAAATCGGTGATTTAGCGATTAAAATTTTGTTATCATTCGTTTAATATTATTATTTGGCGGCAGAAAATTTGTTATTTGTTGAAGATTTATTATTTATAGTATTCTTTTTCTGAAATCAAGTTTTTATTCTAACCTTGTCTTTCCCTTTAAGCATTTAAAAAAAATGATTAGAAATTATCATACTTAAAACAACATGTAATCCTTTTGACAGAAATGCAATCCAAATTAAAATAATTTGCATAGCCCTCTGTTCAACTATACTTTTAACATGTAAGTGTTGTACATTTCAGTCGGTCAGCCCTCTGTCTAATCTTTCAATCATATTGTAGATCATTAAAGTGTTTAACAACTGACGAATAGGTAATTGTTTCATTTGCTGCGCAACACTGTTAAGTCACAAACACTAGGTTATTAAAAATTAGATGGCCGAGTGTTTTGATGGTCTAAATATTGAGAAATATATCCAAAAATAAAACATTAACCCTGTCGTCACAATATGTAACACCAAAAAAAATGCAACTCATGTAAAAGAATCTGAAAATAAATTTTCTATCTTCATCTATATCCCTTTCATCATAATAAGTAAACCCTAGTAAAATTATGACCAATCTACGAGCATGTCTTATGTTTTCCCCGACAGACAGTGTGGTAACTAGAGTGAGTATAACTTATATATGTAATCTAGTAAATGCACTGTGCATTAATTGGTAAACGATTTAACTAAAACTCATTTCAATATTGATGTCCCAAAACTATATATGATACAACATGACATTGTATTCCCAAAACTATATATGATACAACATGACATTGTATTGTTGGAGCGTAAATTATATAACGGTTTTTGCAAATGGTATGACGTGCCTTTGCAGAAGTACAATAATGTAACAATTTTAAACAATTCAATTCATTTGATAAATTATATAAATATGTTTTAATATCTCAGACCTCTGGCTCATATTACAGGCATATATATAGTCAGTAAGTTACATGACACAGTTATCATATTGTCAACTATCATGTATCTGAACAAAGTAATGACAGCTTCCTTCTTGATATGCATTTTAATCTTTTACTTTAAATTCATTTATATTTTCTTACGGAACGGTTTGAAATTAAATACATATGTTACATCTGAATGCTACAATAACGACACTTATGTCTGAGAACATATTTATTTTTTATATTTATAGACTAATCTATGTATGCTGTATAAAATTATATAAAATGATAAATATTACAGATCATTTAATGTAGTACACTACCAGTCTTACAGATCCTTTATGTTGTAATTAAGGATGTTACCACACTTGAAATTGTGTATATTTTTTATGATTATGCTTCTAAAACAATTTTCAAACATCGAATAATATGTAAAATATGTACTGCAATTATTTGTTACATTACATATTATCATTAAAATATATGCATTCATTTCTTATAGATAAATTTGACATAGACTTTATAGAAAATAAATTTCTAATTAGCTCCCTTCATTAACATGAAATCTATTCGGTAATATCTGTACAAATAATGCTTAATCTTCATTTGAGCATTACATTTATGATATAGAATTATAACAAATGTTTAGTTACAGGATCTTTTAATGTCTTTTAAGATACTTTTTATCAATATAACTTGTATAGTGATCACAGGAAACAGAAATATCAGGATACTTATACATGTTTTTTTCTCCTTTGCATAATACAAATATCACGATACTTATTATACAATTATTGACAAGTAAGTCATCGAATATCACATCATATTCAATGTTTCACTAGTCAATAATTGTTTTATCATATGAATAGACTAAGATCAAAAATACATACAAAATGTAAAGCCTTGTAAGGAATTACAAAACAGAACTTTTGACGCGAACGCTTCGCAAACAAAAAGTTTATACACATTATTGCGATGCAACTTCCATTATGGTAAAGTTATGATATTTTAATCGAGAAATGTGACATATAGAACAAAAACAACATTTTTATGTGCAAGAGTAATTAACAGCCAGTGAATATGATTCTTCAACCAGTTAATATGATTTTATAAATAGTTCTGTAGACTACAGTTTGGACCAATGAGATTGCAGATAAATTTTGATCATATAAATTAATAAAAATGTATCTCTCTTTTATATAACAGACATATCACGATACTTATTGGTTTTAATATATACAATTAATAACTTATTATAATTTTTAGTGCCACACATTACTACAAATATCAAACGAAAGCAGTTTTTTCGATTTCTTCTATGGTTGATCCGATCCCCGGATTCCGTACGTTCCGGATCATAGGTCGCGTTATTCATCATTATATTGTTCCACCACGTGGTACGAGAAAAAATTCCGTAGTAAAATAAAAGAAGGTATATCCCATTGACAAAAAAAGGAAATGTTTATTTTCAGAGCAAAAATGCTAAAATTATTATTTTGGGTTAGTTGATTACTGGCTTGACTTTCTCAGATCCATTCAAGTACACAACTTCATAAGAAAAACTTGCACACATTGTTATCACAATTAAGTACATTTATTTATATAAATAGCAATACAACAACATATTTTCATCTTTATTTTGTGTTACTTAGAACAGCGGAGCTTCTATATAGCTTGTTAAACTGAACGACAATCATGAATAGCGGCGATGTCTTAACGTCTTATCCCAAGCATTAGTGGTAAAGACGTAAATGTTTGATAACATTTCACCATTATGCGAATTTAGCCATCAGATCATTCAGACCATTATCGCATAACCGACCAGGTATTAACATCTTTAACAGTATTTCAGTACATCTGACCAGATGATCTTATTTTGATCATAATTTCTTCCTTGTTCTCGTTGATACACATTATGTCGAATGTTGCTGGATTACAATAAAGGTGTGCATTACACAAATTCAAATATTATAAGGTTATATAATGAAAAATTAATCATGTCAATAAATCATATTTACATATAATATAAAAATATTTATTCAGTGTTTTTTGTGTGTTTTTATCTGGTGTCCAGAATTTCAACAGTTCCGTTTTCTTATTAATTTTAAAATAAAATATTTAACAACAATGTTCAAGATACTTAAATCAGAAATGGCTAAAAATACATTCACTCGTGCTCAAACACTTGTCTTTTATTTGCTTGCTGTTTAAAAAATATTACGAAGAATATAATAAAAATAATCAGAACATTTACTTGACATGAAATCATAAAAAGATGATCGTATGAAATATATTTTCACTTTACTTAGTATGAATGATTTAATCGCTTATGCTGAATTAATTGCCTTGTAAACGTCCTACAGGTTTTGAAATGATTTTGTTTATATAAGCATTGATAATCAGAATGGCAAAAATTTGTTACACAGGATTGTTTAAATTTCGTGGTGATATACGATGTGAATATTATATATTGTTGTTTTTGGATAAACAACAAGTGTTTGTGAAACATTTTGTTGCGAGAGAAACAAAAACACAAAAAGTAGCATTGGTTGGTTTAACATGCAATAGCGCATAAATTTAATTAACATCTAGCGCTATCATGTTTCCTTTTCTTTGCACTTTTCCTAGTTTTCCTGGCCCATTCTTTGAACATCTTTTCAACTTCATCTTTCTGGTTTTCTCTCTTGCAGTATACACGAACGACCTGCTCAGCAAACCGTGTAGGTAGCAATAGGGAAACCTATAAATATAAAATCATAACAACATTATCTGTCCTGTTTGTTATGTCCATGTTTAAAAAAACGCTTTAACTTGTACCAACAAGCTATATTTTTTCTATAAGGAGATATTTTAAGGAGAAACACTATTTTTTACATTGCGGAAGAAATTATATAAGAAACACGAATCAAAAATCAGAAACAGTTACATATGAATACAAAATAGAGAGAGAGAGAGAGAGAGAGAGAGAGAGAGAGAGAGAGAGAGAGAGAGAGAGAGAGAGAGAGAGGGGGGGGGAGGGAGAGAGAGAGGGAGGGAGAGAGAGAGAGAGAGAGCAACATGCACAAAAGGCAGGTTCCAACAACATCCTGTCAATCAGGATCAAAGTATTATTCGTTCTTGTTCTTTTGTTTTTAGCTCACATGACCTTTTGGCATAGGTCAAACGATTTGGTGTCCTTTTTCAGCCGTCGACAGGTTTCATGTCACATCTTTACCAAATTTTAATATTAGAGATCCTTTGAATGAATTTGAATATGGGTCATCTTGGGTTAAGAACTCGTTCATAAGGTCCAATCAAAGAAAAAACATAATTAACACTGAAAAGATCACAATCATTAAACTTTGTCAGAATTGATCTCATTGATATCCCAGACGAGTTTGAATACGGATCATCTTTGTTGATGGTAACTTGTCGGCATTAACCATTGCCTTGTGAACCTCTACATTATCATGCCCCTGAGTTAAAAATGTCCCCATCCTGGGGGTCACTTAGTATATATATACACTTATAAAGTAAACATATCTTAAACTCATTCTCTTCCAAAACTTCAATCACCGGAACTTAAATATTTGGCATGTAGGCCTAGCATCACGTTGCAGTGGTTCCCTATAAAGAATATGTAAGTCATGCTCTGGTGGGTCGCTTAGTTTACAAAGAAATGTATAAAATCTATAATCCTAAGTGACGTCAATGCCCAGAGCTTAACTATTTGTCATGTAGTACTACAAAAAAATATATATATAAATCATGCCCTTGGGTCAAATATGGACCAACCTTGATGAAATGTTATATAATTAGGTATGCAGTTTTTTTACAGGTTCTATGAAAATGGTTGGTTCTATGAAAAAGGTTGTTTCCATACATTCTGGCCCCTATTTGATACAATGTAGTATCGTATAAATAAAACAACACAACGTTTAGAAGCAATTCAAGATGTACACCTGTTCCAACTGATACGAATCGTAATTACTTCACAGGTTCCTTGTGATGATTAAAACAACAAAGCAACAACGAACAAACAACGACAAACAAACAACCGACATTAAACAATCAATAGTTTGATATAAAAATCTTCTGATACGTCTATTATTGATAATTTGAATGTAATTCACCAAACACTCTTCTTTATTACGTAAGGCACCAAATATCAAGTAGTAAAGTTGCATTTATAAATAACTACATGTAGATACCCAGCATTTGCACACAACGTGAAATAACATTAATTATGTAATAATCACATGATAATATTAATTAAATTATAGAAATAGTTACGTCGTCTTTGTCTATAGGTTTTGCACTGTTCGGATCATTCTTGGAGTAAAAGTTGACATAAGCTATTGGATCTTTATCCTCTTTACCATAACTAAAGTCCACAACCTGGAAATTTGTAATATATATAATTAACTATATATGTCATATAACACTTAAATAACAAGCAAATGTCAACGCATTACAAACAATCCATAAGTTCCCGTACCGGTTAGAACCCCAGCAAAATTCTGATGGGCCATTGGCCATTCAATGTTACCATTGAATGAATGAATGACATGAATGAACTTAAATCCATTGAGTTCTAAGTTTGTTTATATCATAGTAATGTGTTAAATTTCCCTGCATAGTAAGAAAATTATGTTTATACAAAAAGTACTCTAAAAGTTCAATTTTCTCAGGATGAATAAGTATAACAAATGTTTAAACTTTTCTCTATTTTAAGTAAATTTATTGGAAAAAATCTTTGAAAGTAATCTCAGGAAACAGTTTTTATGAACAGACAGACAGACTAAAGGAAACTCTAAAGTTATTTTTTTAAACATCCCTGTAACCAAAATGTAATTTTTTTAAAGCAAAAATCTTAAAGAGGAGATAACTCATGAAATAAAGAGGTTATTCTGGTAATTTTTGTGCAAGAAATGTAAACCTTGTCACATATGATGTGGTTGATGGCCAGAAATTTATATTTCAAGTTTGAAGTCAATACTTTAAGAAATAAAGAACTTATAGTGAAAATGCGTAAAAACTAGAATCAGAAATCTTGAAATTCAGTCTATTTGTTGCCATAGAAACCAGAATTTTCAATATAGAAAGGAAAGAAAAAGATGAACATGATTTCCAGACTGCCCGCTACCCATGTTTCAAGTTTCATAAAATTTTTGTCAGTACTTTTTGCGTTATGGCGGGATCCAGCTTATGTGCTAAATTTGCCATATTTTAGTCTATTTATTGCCATAGCAACCAGAATTTTCAACATAGGAAGGAAAGAAAAAGACGTGCATAATTTCCATTCTGCCATTTATCCATATGTTAAGTTTCAGAAAAATGTTTTTAGTACTTTTTGCGTCATCGCGGGATCCTGTGTTGTGGACGGACGGACTGACAGACGGACAAACTGACGGACAGACGGACGGAAGGTTAACCTAAAGTCCCCTCCGGTTAATCTGGTAGGGGACCAACAATACTGTATACATGTACCACTGAGCTTATGTCGTCAATAACCCCAGAAAATTATAATTAAAACCGTAGAATGTGTACATTGGAGTACAGACAACATTAAATGATTATATAATGATTTAAAAAAGGAGTGACAAATACCCCCACCCCCATTTCTTTATCACAAAGAATTTGACGTTATATTATATTTTGTAGATGACAAGTTGAATAAATTTCAAGAAAGTTATTTAAGTAGTACAGCATTTATTGCGTAGACACACGGTGGCAAAGACAGAAAAGTGACAGCATGGATTCTGCACATGTCATTGTTTTTGTAAGCATTTAAAACATTTTTAAAAAGGTAAAGAAATTTTCGGGCCGACAGAAAATTGAATAACATTCGACCTTAAATTTGAGCCGGACAACGGCGGCATAAGTTTTGCGCATAACCTTGTTGTGGTGAATATCTGAGTCAAGTTTGGAAAAAAAACTCTTGTAGCGATAAGGAATTGATAGATGAGACATGAAATGTCTGAAAATTGACCTACACATTGCCTTTTCTGGTGAACAGATTGGCTAAATGTAAGGGGTTTATTATTTATAGGGTAGATAAAGTGAAAATGGACAAAGTTACTGACCGATCTACTCACAAACCTACCGACACGAATGCAATGACGACTTGACTCTTCAAGTATCCATTTACATTTGATGAGGAGTATTAAAATTCAGACATTAAGTATTGGCATTTGCCGACAAAAAGAGGACAGCTTTATATATATATAATACTGATCTTTTATAGTTTTCCCGATAGAATATTCTTCTTACATCAATTACAACAAATTTATCAAGACTGGCAATAATTTGGCAAAACTCCTGGTCGTCTTCCAATGTCTCTTGAAAGTCTTTTTTAACAGACTCAATTTTTGTAACTTCATACGCTCCTTTGCCGGCATTCCTTTTTTACCGGCAACCTCATCTTTACTAGCAACCTTCAAAGAAATTAACTTGTTATCAATTGATTGATAAAAAGCACACATTATTTATAGTATGGGAAAAGGTAAAAAACATGAATTTCAAATACAGGGGTTTCAAGAAGTTATGTAAGTTATATAAAATTATGGAAAAAAATATTGTAAAGATAAATGAAATATTTATAATGAATATATAATGAAATATGTTATTTAAAATATAGTAAACAGCTTAATAGTTTAGATATAATTTAAGTTCGTATGTTCAGAACCTATAAGCTTATAGAAACACTCTCAAATCCGTTCCCAGGACCAACCTGAAAGATAATCAATTAGTGTAACGTTTCTCGTTCAAGGAAACAAACGCTTGTCCTGACGGTTTAGATCCAACGCATCTGGAAATGAAAAGAATCATCAAATGAAAAGAATTACGTCACCGAAACGTCAGAGAACAGTTTTTAACTCTACTTAATGCATACCTTTCTGACAAATGTCCCTCCCGGGAATATTTTTTCACCTACAAAGCTGTACAAATCTCGTTTAAGAATCTTTTGAAGAATTCCTTTGGATTTTCGTAGCCCGTCGTCATTGCTTTCGAGAATTCGATGAATGACGTCATCGGTAAGAAGAGTGTACGCCTTCATATCATGTATTGTGTCTGACATACGAACTGATCTAAAATACAGTTCAGGATTTAAACGTAGGCATGTTATAGCACCATCACAATAATAAACGTATTGCGTCACAGATTCGATCGTAAAAATCTTGATCGTCAATTTATTAGTTTGGGCATAAATAATATTGAAAAATTGGTCCATTCCTTGTACACTTCTTGTTATAGCCAATATGAAGTGTAAAATGTGTCCTGCATGAAGTAACTTTTATAATCAATATAATTGTATAAAGTTATTCATAATCAATATTTTTTTTCCTATGCACCTACTAATAGTCTATAATTTAAAATGTTGCCTTATACAAAAAAAAAAGAAAACAAATGACAGCAGTGTAACTTGCTACTATTGCATCCACCAACTGAAGTATCAGTAGTGACACATACTATAGCATAAGCCAGCAGTCAATTGTGAAGCATTCAATAATAATGAGTTTTCCATAGTGTAACATAACTAAACTCATGAAATTTGAAAGGTATCCGAATACATTTGAAAATAGACAATAACTTAAATCATCAAACAATACCTTCATTCATGCATAATCAATAATATTTCATATTTATAAATACAAATATTTCACATAAACGCATGTGATATAATAATGCATCACCAACAGAGTAACGAGCCAGATACTCATTGCAGAAAGAGTAACGTTTTACTGACCTAATTAATATAAATGAACAAAGGGAAGGTGTCAAGATTATTCAAAATTGTATCAAAATACCGTGGTTTGAGAAAAATGTGCCATTCAAAAAATATTTCTCAAAACCTTTTGTGTATGGTAAATAATTACATTTAAAAAAATCATTTGCCACATATATGAATCATTTTTTACTTCTTTTGCTCTGTTGGCACTGGGTATAATTAGTATGAGTTATAATAGTGAATGAGTATTTTGTGTGGAAGTCACAATACTACTTTGTTTACATTACCTACTTTAATGACATATTACTGTAACATTTAGCGCAACTTTCTTCATTTGTTAAACATCTCATATTCTCTTATTAATTATTAAAACATTACTTAACTCATGTGTAACATTTCTGAAGAATTGAAAAATATGGATTTCCGAGTCATAATGTGCCTTTAATAATCTTGTCACTTCTGTAGGAAGTGTTCTTTTGTCCTCTCTAAGAATGAATTAAATCTATATTTACATAGCAAAGTCATGACAATCTTATCAAATTTCATTAACTTCAGTGTCAAAGCTAATAAAGGTCTTATGAAATATTTAATAAAATTTATTTACAGTAAAATTATATTGGTTCAATTATCATACACTATTATATTATTTTGCTTTAAGGTAGCGTTTTTTCCGTTTATCATGCACCATTCGCTTTTATGTCAACAAATTACAATATTTTTTTCATACAAAATTTTATAAGAATCCTTTTTTTTTGAAATTCAAACAATAATTGTTGCATCATATATATAGCTTTATACACTTTTAAGATTAAAGTCATATCAAAATAATTCAACATGTCTGTGTTGTCATAAGTGTTCTTTTGTTCAAGAATATATGAAACCCATCAATAGACATCAATGTTATGAAAATTTAAGTAAACATTAATAAGCAGACAATGATTTAACTAGAACTCCGCGAGTCGGATGTGTCGCCTTGTGAACAATATAGTTAAGGAGAAATGGCCACGACAAAAATGAAATTTGAAAATCAGCAAAGGGCAATACCTCAAAAAAATAAGAAATGCAGAGCAGCAGTTTCTGTGCACTGCACTTCTTATCAATAAGATCTATCATCCTATTAAGTTTCAAGTCTGAAGCTTTTATAATTTATGAGAAATGGCCTGGACAAAAATAAAGTATGAAAATTAACAAAGGGCAATAACTCAAAAAATAAGAAATGCAGAGTACCAGTTCTTGTGCACTGCACTTCTTCTTAATGAGATAAATCATCCTATGAAGTTTCAAGTCCATAGCTTTTATACTTTAGGAGAAATGGCCCGGACAAAAACAAAGTATGAAAATTAACAAAGGGCAATAACTCAAAAAATGAGAAATGCAGAGTACCAGTTCTTGCCGGTGCTAAGGGGCGTGAGGGATGTTGCACTTATTCATAATCCCTCATGTACAGACTCAATCAAACCGAGTCTGCAATTCTTATGTTATTTTGTTGTGATTAATGCTTCCGAGGGATCACTTTGTTTCCAGAATTTTGTACTTCACAACAGCAGGTGTCAAGTGCCGTGTGGAAGCCGTAAAAAGTTGCCCCGTACTTCACTTCAGTGTTGTTATATTTTCTGGTCCTTCGGGATCATTGATGCCAACACTTTAGTGTGGAGAATTAAGTTCCGCTCAAGCCGGTGCTAGCGGGCGTGAGGGATGTTGCACTTATTCATTATCCCTCATGTACAGACTCAATCAAACCGAGTCTGCAATTCTTATGTTATTTTGTTTTTGTTGTGATTAATGCTTCCGAGGGATCACTTTGTTTCCAGAATCTTGTGCACTGCACTTCTTCGTAATGAGATCTATCATCCTATGAAGTTTCAAGTCCATAGATTTTATACTTTAGGAGAAATGGCCCGGACAAAAATAAAGTATGAAAATTAACAAAGGGCAATAACTCAAAAAATAAGAAGTGCAGAGTACCGGTTCTTGTGCACTGCACTTTGGGTTATTATAAGAAGCATGCATACCAAGTTTGAAGTCAATCCAACTTATAATGACTGACTTATGCTCCGGACAAGCTTTAGGGGACGCCGACGCCGACAACGACGCCGACACCGACAACGACGCCGACACCGCCGACAAAAGTAACCCCTATATGTCGCCTTTTTCAAGGCGACACAAAAATGACGTTCATGATCAATTCAAGGTCAAGGTAAGAATAATGAGAAAATTTCAACATTTCAGTTTGTTTTATGTAGACTTTCGTCGCAGTGTGAATCAACAGTTAAAGCATATTTCAAAAATTTGACCTTGACGGTCAAGGTCAAATAAACGTCAAGGTCGTATTTGAATTTTTCAACATACAGTTTTGTCATAAGAGTTTGTTTTTTTTTAAAAATATGTATTAATCTTATATACACACCAATAAGCAAGTTATGAGCATTTGCGGCAAAAATCACTTAGTTGACGTAAATTGTCAACGTCAAATTAAGGTCAAGGTCAATCTCTATATAATCTTTTTGATGTCTTGTCCCAAGGATTGGTGTGTACAAGTATGAAGACAATACATTTAAAAATTACAAAGTTAAAGACAATTACAGAAAACAAACTTAGAAATAACAACAATTTGACCTTCAATGTCATGGTTATATTTAGGTCAAATTCAAACTGAGTCTTATCCTTTAAATACATATTGATTATTCATTCGTTAATAAGAAAGTTATAGCCAATTACAGCTACAATCAGGCAACAATCAAACACATGACGTTAAATGTCAAGATCATTTAAGAATTGAGGTATAAAATTTAGTCTGGTCAACTTGAAGATATTGTCCAAAAGATCGTTGTGCCCAAGTATGAAGGCACTTCATTAAAAAAGAATTGACCAAAGTCAATGTGTCCGGATGGCAATGGCAATGATTACGGCAACAGCAACGTCAACGAAACCATGACTGAGACAATAGCTTTTTTCTTATAAATAGTCGAGCTTGTGAGTCAAAATGATATTGCATAGAACACGAACAACTATTTTTACCCATTTTTGCCTTGAAACTCTATAAAATTGTCTGCCAGCACTAAAGCCTCGGTAAGCCTGAAACATAAATAACAAATATGTTATGATTGACAAAAAACTATATTACTGGTTACTTTAAAGTATTTTATTGCATTTTTATTTTATGAAATATTCGTTAGATATTCTCCTACAGTGGTATTCGCAATACATAAAATATAATAAGGGTTGAATACCAAAACTCCATTCGTTAATGTAAGTAATGATATAAAACGTCGTGTTCCTATGATAGGTATCTTGATGAAATGACTGTAATATCTGTTGGTATGAATTTCATTTATAATGTTAGTATTATCAGATTTGAGACATGAATGTATCATGATATTGAAACTTTGCAGGAAACTAAAGTGATAACATTTATAATACTGCATGTTTGTAATGTCGAATTTTTATTGGATACTCGTGACGTGTATATAGTTTTATGTCTATTCATGAAGAAATCTCACTTATTTTTTGCAGTATTATAAATATGTTATAAATATTCTTGACAGATTATTTGGCGGTATATAATCGGTTGTTTGCAATTCAACCATCGCCTGGCGATTCGGGTTATATTTACAAAAAGCCATTTATATAGGGCCATATAACATGTCAAAACTCTTTATAACTTATAACAGTATGAAAACTATTTATAATAAAATGAAATTCAATGGTCGATTACTTTTATATCACAAGTCAATAAGTTAGTAAGCAAATAATAGGTAAACTACAGACATGTATTCAATTATGTTGCATGTTTTGTGCTGGTATGCCCTCTGGTGTAGTAGAAGTCTGGTATGGAACATGTCGTACAGGTTATGTACCTCCTATAAAATACATTGTAAATTTAAATCATTTACAGATAGAAACGGCCAAAATAACCCATATATCAAAGTTCACATTTAAATATGTTAGATTAATGAAATGCTTGTAATAGAAATCACACGCAAATAGCACAATTTGAATATTTGACGTCATAACTGTACTGTTAAGTTATATGATGCTTAAGTAAGTTCGAGTATACCTCGGTGATTATCAGTGAGGAATTGACCTTGGAGACATCAACCAAACCAAAGGTCAAAAGTTCACTTATAACACCTTTTAATCTTTTTTTCTATAATAATTATGTATGGTACCTAAGTAAAGAAAACTTCATTGTGTAATATATGGTAAGCGTGACATATTTCCACAAGTTTGTGTCAAAGCAAGTTACATTTTGTATTTGTATACTACATGTGTATCTAGTAAGAGCAGATATAATGTTAATTTAAACGAAGCATATAAGCTCTGAAATCAGTTGTCATGTAAATGCAAGTATGACATAAGTTTGATTGAAATAGATATATTTATAATTTAAGTAAAACTAAAGAAGGTAATTGCTTACTTTGTCTCTATAACAGATTTGTTGTTCACCATCAACTTCTATAACTTTTGAGAACGAAATACATCGATCAAGGTTGAAATTATTACCAATACCTAAACTGTGACAGTCGCGTGCAAAATAGTCCCACTTGTCAACATCAACACCATTGCGTTTGTTTGAAACAATCTGAAATATTAACATCGGAGTAATGTTAAGAACAATCTGATGAATTATGAATGTTATACGTTCAGGCATACACACAAATGTTAGGGTATATGGTACACAAAACAGCATAAAAATCATAATTCTATTACAATAATTTAACGCGATTCCATACGTAAAAATATGCAATGAAAATAAAATCGGAACAAACATTTTGATTCAAGCATCTATCTGTTAATGATATTGTAAGAATAAACAATCAACAGAAGAACTATTGCATGCACATACAATTCACATACAATATTTGATAATTTTGTTTATACAATAATTTACCTCGTAAAGAAATGCCATTTGTTTCGGTCTGCCTTCATACGGCCACGTCTGAAGAAAATCAAAACAGGAGAACTAAATCCTAATTGTATAAAGCTTGTCTAAAAACTTGACTTCATGTACCTTACTTTTAAATGTTCATTATTTATATGCTTCAAGACTTAATGTGTTCATTTCTGCCATATTAAAATGAAATGAAATGACAAAATTCAAAACAGACTGAACAACATATTTGTTTGAGAAGCTTTTTTCGTCGTTGTATCAAATCCTCGGGATAAGGTTAAGGACACATACAGTATTCTTTCTCTAAAAGTCTGTTTATGTCGGCGTGCAAACCATAGGATGTCCTTGTTTCATTTCAATAATCATTATAATTGTCAAGGTTCTACATGTGAAATCTAAGAAAAGCAACGCAACGGAGGAGACAAATGTGTTTGAGTAATTAAAAACATTTTAATTAGAGAAGAGACCTATTCTGAAACATATCTGAATCATGCCTTTTAACATTAGGCAATATAATACATATATCTTAATGCTAAGCACTTGGCTTCGTATATAAGTATCCTATATAAGTATATTTTTCTGAAGTGAACATCAGAGCGGGACGGTTCAGATCTGATGAGTTTCCGTCCCGTGTTCAAAAGTTATAGAGGTGTCATGAAATTGCTAACATACGGACAGAAAATACGTCAAGCACGTACATAACACCATTTTGCCGAAACAAATTCGAGCACATATAAAACTATAAAATATAAAACTTTTGTAATGCTCAAAAATAGACACTCACTTTATCGGTCTCATCCATGTTATTCCTATCTTTTATAGACTTTGGTGGTCCAACAATCATCTCTTTGATAAATGTTTTATCTTCTTTTGATAATTCTTCATTGAATTCCTCCTCCAATTCTCCATTTTCTTCCAACATGTGATCAAACATATCAACTGAGCCTTGTTCGTGCTAGATTAAGCAAATAAAAGCATTCCAGTTTATTTCTAATCTTTTTTTATATCAGTTAAGATATACCTAAAAAGGCAGTTGTCTTAAGTGTTTATGCAAGTGAACCATGTGGCTAAAAAAGTAAAACAGACTAAAACAGAAAAAATGCTTGTCTCTTGGTTTATTTTCCAGCCATTATATCCCAAATCCAAAACCATATTCACTATGACCATCCCAAAAATGATAATATGCACCAGCAAAATAAGTTGCTAATAACCATCTAAAACCTAAATGGTCGAACAGTAAATAATCTAAACATCCTAGATTAGCAGCCGATGACAAAATATGGCAGTTCAATAATACAACAAAGGGGGATTTAAATACAGAAATGTAGTTTTATCAGTGCAGTTGATTGTTATGGCTCTAAACCTGTGATAGAAAGATTCATAACGGAATTTAACATTGCAAATTCTGAAGAAAAAGAAATGGAGAGTTAACAAGCCGAATATAAATAAAAATGTAAAACTGATAGTCTCACACCTAATGTAACTCATAACTCGTATTAATGTGTTCGTGTTTTCATTTATAAACAAAAATCAGCTTTATGGTATGCCTTATGGCTGGTTACTTCTCAGGATCAAAAGTCAGTGTAAGTAAAATAAGCAGTGTTCGTTTTAGATCCAGTCTAATTTTATTAAGTTTCTAATAAACAATTATTAAATCATTTTTGTTCGGTGTAATGAAATAAACAATACATAGACTACCGAGCCTGCAACATTTTCAATTTTGCCGTGTTGGGCTTTCTTTAGGGATTCTGTATTTATCTATTTTGTGGTAACAATAAGAATATCAAGCTTAAAAAAATACGAGGTATAATCAAAACTTCCTCGGCCCGATATACTTCTTGCCACTACACTGACGTTTACACATTACACACGATACGTCGATACCGATATCTTATAGATTACTGATCGAGTTACACGCGGTTTTTCACAGATTAGGTAAAATAAAACACACTTTGGTCAATAGAGAGGTGTGTCATTTAGACTAAATGTAGAAAGCTGAAATCAGAACCATCATAAAGTACCTCTGTTAGACTAGGATGTTCCAAAGGAAATCCCTGAAGACTTCATAGAAACATTTGGGAAGGAGTTCCCTTCCTATATCACTGTGAAGAAATGGGCTGCTGAAGAGGGGCAAAGAGAGCATTGGGGAAGATGAGCGGCCTGGGCGGCCAAAAGAGGTCACCAACGATGATCCTGCCGAAGCTGTGAATAATCTGGTCACGTGCGACAGAAAGCAAGACCTGTGAAGTGAACTGTGAAGCATTGCTAGGAAAGTGGGTATGAGCTTTGGTTCATTTCAGGCAATTCTGACTGATGTCTATGGCATGTCAAAGATTTCTGTAGATGGGTCCCCAGACAGTTGACTGACAGCCAGAAACGGACCATGCTTTACATATCAAGATATCTTTTGTCTCGCTACGACGATGAACCTGATTTGACCTACCGGATCGTAACTCATGATGAAACCTGGATCCATCACTTCGATTCAGAATAAAACAAACCAGAGCATGCAGTGGAAGCACCCTGGCTCATCCCCTCCGAAGAAGGATGCCATCAGCAGGGAATATGATTGTTTCAATTTTTTGGGATAGTCAGGAATTATCATGATTGACTATCTTGAGCAAGGTTGTACCATAAATGATACTATGCAAGCGAATTGTCTGCGTCAAGAAATCGCGCGTAAAAGGAGGGGCAAACTGACTTGCACTTATTTATTATCCCTCATGTACAGACTCAATCAAACCGAGTCTGCAATTCTTATGTTATTTTGTTGTGATTAATGCTTCCGAGGGATCACTATGTTTCCAGAATTTTGTACTTCACAACAGCAGGTGTCAAGTGCCGTGTGGCAGCCGTAAAAAGTTGCCCCGTACTTCACTTCAGTGTTGTTATATTTTCTGGTCCTTCAGGATCATTGATGCCAACACTATAAAGTGTTGAGAATTGAGTACCGCTCAAGCCGGTGCTAGGGGGCGTGAGGGATGTTGCACTTATTTATTATCCCTCATGTACAGACTCAATCAAACCGAGTCTGCAATTCTTATTTTATTCTGTTGTGATTAATGCTTCCGAGGGATCACTTTGTTTCCAGAATTTTGAGACGTTCTGCTCTTGCACGACAATGCGTCAGCTCACACATTCAAAGTGGTGATGGCTGCAACAACTGACTGTGACCTTGAAATTCTTCCCCATCCTCCATATTCTCCAGACCTGGTCCCCTTTGATTTCTACCTGTTTCCGAACCTGAAAACCAAGCTTCGTGGTAGACGTTTTGGAAGAAACGAAGGTGTCATGGAGGCGGTCAATGAGTTATCTGAGGTCCAAGAGTGAAAGTTCTATTTTGAAGTGTTCAACAGGTTGGAGCACAGGTGGGCAAAGTGCATTGATGTAGAGGGTGATTATATTGAAAAGTAAGACCATAGGTTTGGTTCTCCGACTACCGGAAGTACATCGGGCCGAGAACTTTTTTGATCAATCCTCGTATCTCAGTTTTTGTTTGTTTACATAATGTTCTTGTAGTCACTTGATCAATTAAAAATGTTTTCATAAGGTGCATTAAATCATACCTTCCATATTTTGCCGTTTACATTTTCCCTTATTTTGGGAATGATTTTTCCATCAAATAGATGGGAAAATGGTCCATGCCCTAAAAATAACAATAATAAAAAAGAAAAAGAAATAAAATAAAAAACATATTAAATCGGCATACATGAAGTTGACCTTAGACTTGTGTCACTGATAACCAAAACTATCCGTTGAACAATGTAATTACATATTTTATTATAATTACCTTATAATTGTAACACAACCTGTGTATACTTTATCATAGTTCAAATCACAGATAATTATTTCTTTTCAAAATATTTGCAAGATATCAGAACATGAAGACCTACTTGAACACGCAGTTATTACTACAAAGTTTAATTGTTACTCTCATAGTTACCATGGTAATACTAATGGCATACCACGATTACATGCACATAATGTCTTAAGCAGCAGCAGCAGCAACAACAAAACCTACTTCTACTGCAAAACACTTACCAAGATCATGACACAAAGCTGCAATTTTAACACAAAGTTCGTCTTTATCCGTAATTTTGATCGTTGAATCAGGCGCTTTTGATATTTGCTCTTTTAAAGATCGCACTAAACGCCCCGCTAAGTGGCACACACTTTTTATGTAATAAAAATATCTAAATATAGGTTTAAAAATAGTAAACATATTTTTAAGCATGAAAGTAAGCACTGATGACGTAAATTATTTTTAGGTAAAGCTTCCTTAGTTATAGACAATATAATATGACTTTGTTTGTCTTTTACATAATAATATGTAAAACAAAATTATGGCTGATATACGCAATATCGTCTTTCTTTCTTTTTCTCCCAATTCGGAGAGGCAAAAAGGCGACAGTGACAATTTTCGAGGCAAGAAAGCAAAGGGACGACGATAGAAAGGTACCATTAAAAATACCTAAAAGTTTTACTTTACATAACATCCGAAGTACATAGGGCATGGTGTTATTTATGACACCATACGAAAAAGAAAAGAATATCCAAATAGACACTTACCCTATCGAGTGCTCGAACCTGTTATGTGATGCGCCTGGATATACGAAATAGGCCCCACCAAGTTGTTTAATGAATCGTAGACGTTGAAATTGTGGTGTATCAACAATCTTCACTAACAAGGGCTCTAACTCTATATTACCGTGAATAGGATCGTTAAATATCTGTCAAAATAAAAGATATGTAAGGAAAGCAGCAGTATATATCGGGTAAACAAAGATTTAATGTCACTATCATTAATTCAACGAGTAAGAATTTAATACGCTTTTGGAAAATGTGGCCATGATTCGTGCTTGTCGCGACAATGTGTAAAGTGAGCAGTGGACAATAAAGGCGGTAGGTCCTCTCTTTATGCCAGTTCTCCGTACATGATGCGTTACTAGCTTTTGACCACATAAATCTAAGAAAAAATAACCTACAGGTTACCCTTAACATGTATTTAAGTGAAAACATTTCAGATAACAGAAAACGAAAACATCTAAATAAATCGGTGTTACAAATTAACAATTTAACCACATTCAGAAACAAGCAAATTATCATAGTATTGCAAGCAATCCATAAGTCCCCTACCGGTTAGAACCCAAGCAACATTCTGATGGGCCATTGGCCATTCAATTTTACCAGTGAATGAATGACATGAATGAACATAAATCTTTTGAATTCTAAGTTTGTCTATATCACAGTAATGTGTTTAGTTTCCCTGCTTAGTAAGGAAATAATGTTTATACAACCTTGTCATATTATTACAATATGTGGGATTTTAAAGTAAATCCTATAAGGTCAATAAAGAAGTTGGAGTGAAAAATACCAATTTCTCGAAAAAAAATCTAAGTTAAAGGGGGACATAATCCTGGAAATAGTCTTGCTAGAGTATTTAACCTTCTCAAAAATATTGTGTGATAATAAGAAACATATATATGAAGTTTGAAGTAGATACATTTGGAAATAAAGAAGTTATTTAAAAAAGACAACATTTTTTTTCATAAAAATTCTAAATTCAAGGGAGGTAATACTGATAATTTTTGTGCTGGAGTTGTAAACCTTGTCACATATGATGTGGTTGATGACCAGAAACTTATATTTAAAGTTTGAAGTAAACACCTTAAGAAATAAAGAACTTATAGTGAAAAAGCTGAAAAATTTAAATCAGAAATCTTGAAATTCAGGCTATTTGTTGCCATAGCAACCAGAATTTTTAACATAGGAAGAAAAGAAAAAAATGTGCATAATCTCCAGACTGCCATCTACCCATATGTCAAGTTTCATAAAAATATTTTTAGTACTTTTTGAGTTATCACTGGATCCAGTTTATGTGTTAAATTTGCCATATTTTCAGACTATTTGTTGCCATAGCAACCAGAATGTTCATCATAGGAAGAAAAGAAAAAGACGTGCATAATCTCCATACTGTCATCTATCCATATATCAAGTTTCATAAAAATATTTTCAGTACTTTTTGCGTTATCGCGGGATCCAGTTTTGTGCACGGACGGACTGACGGACTGACAGACAGACAGGCAGACGGACAGACAGACAGACAGACAGACGGACGGAGAGTAAACCTAAAGTCCCCTCCGGTTAAACCGGTAGGGGACTAAAAAGCATGATATTTGTTATTTAAATAAGGCATGTTCTTTACTACATAATTAAAAAAATCAGGGTGGGCAATCAGGTAACATTAGTTAAACATAATAACAGCGCCGATGACTTATAATGGTATTTGATGATTTTTAGTTTAATCTTTCAATATTTGAATAATAAACATATGCAACATTGTAAGCAAATATTTGCAATTGGAGATGGTACATATTATTCAAATGTAGTACTTTTCCCGATATGCTTACAGAATTGTGTGACACTGTGTGTATTGTATCAACAAATAGTTACACGGAAAAATTTCGGCATATCGGAACAATTAAAATGGCTACAATTGGAATCGGTAAAGAACTTTTTAATTAATGGGCCAGTCCATTAGCTGTGTAAACAACTGTCACGTGATATTATCCAACCTGGAAATTGAAAGTTATAATAAGCATACATTTTATTTGTCTACTAAAGAAGTTATATATCGATAGAAATGTATATACTTACATGGGGATTTCATATTTCAAAGCTATATCTCAAAAGAGGAACGAACATAAAACACCTTAAACTGAAAGTAAACCTCGTGACATACATCACCGTAAACCGAAGTTCTAAAAAAGCCAGAGAGAAACTTTTTTACGAAATTTTTAAAGAACAATTGTATACAAAATCCAGGAGTTTTTGTAGAAAAGAAACAAATTAGAAAGGTTGGTGACAGAAATCAGTAGTGTATTGCCGACATCTAAGTTAAAAGAATTTTTTTATATTTGTTAATGTATATGAAGAGATTTGATTAACTTATTTTTTATGAATCACTGGCAGCAACAATTAAAAAGTCGACAAAGGAACATTTACATGGAGGTTTATTAGAGTATTGTGACACTTACAAAATCGGTAGATATCGTCTAACACTGGGTTTTATTAACGTACTAAAATATGATAAACAAGATCAACAAAGAAAGGCGGAACCTTCCCTCGAAATATTCATAGTATATCTTAGAAACGTGAGAAGGTATTTCCTACTGTGACGTCATTATTTGAGATATACAAATATAGCTTGTTGCAAATGCAACGATGATTGTCTTTGGGAATAATGATAACTTGAGATTTCAGAGAATTATTACTAGATGTATTTCCCTTAAAGTGATTGAAACAGTTTAAAAATATTTAGATTTGAATATAATCGATGTTAAATGATATATTTATATCATTTGATGTAATTCATCGTCGGATACCCACGATTGATAAACATGTCACATAACATGCAATCATAAATGTTAATGGTTCGGCCGTGGGTATCCGACGATGGATGTAATTAAACTATATATCGAATTAAGATGATGATTTCAGCGACATTTCGACAGTAAGAAAACTTAACTTAGTAAATGATAAGCTATGAATAAATTATCCATGGTAAAGTTCCTGAGATTTGATTAGTTTCTCTGTTTTTTATTTAAAACGATGACAATCTTTAGAGTTTCTGTGTACTAATTTGTTTTCATACTTGATATTAGATTACGATTATCGAGCCAAATATTTAAAATACAGGCACTTTCATTAGGAGCAATTTATATTAAGTAGCATAAGTCGTTTTAAATTAATGGTCTTGGTCTGTTTTGCCTATTACCGGAAAGACTTAATCAAATTTATCAAGGACGATGAGTTGTTTCTGTACATTTGGGCACAACCGGCAAAATCGCAATGACATGTTAAACACAGATGAGATAAATGGTGACATTGAATTTCAAATTAACAACTGATTACCTTATTGGCCATTTTCCTGTTCCTCAAACCTGAAACAAAAAAGCACAACTTGTTTCTTAAAAGAGTTGAAACTTTCGAAGCAAGTATTAAAGATCCTTTAAACAATTTTTTAAGGTTTCATATCATATATATATAATGCATGCTCAAAATGAAGATTTGTCAATATTGTAAGTGCCAAAAACCATTATTTGTAAAGATATTACCGATTTTACATTTCATGTTAATAAAGGGAGGTAACTCGAAATTTATTTTCTATAAAGTCTAAGTCAATTTTTTTCAAAAAGAAATAAATGCATATATTTTAATGACTACATACAATGTAGGCAAAGTAGGCAAATATTTGCAGTACATATTTTACATATCCTTCGATGTTTGAAAATTGTTTTATAAGCATAATTATATACATATACTATTTTCACTTAAGTGTTTTAACAACCTTAATTTCAACATACAGGAATTTTGAGGTAAATATCAAATTCATTTGACAAGAATTTACCATTCGTGCTGCAAATCAGACCATTGTTAGCCTAAGAAGAGGAGCGACTGCTCCATTCAGCCAACAGCAAGTTTCATTAACAAACGATGTTCGTCTGGATCTGTTGTTTTTGGACTGGACATTCATTTGACCAATCCCTGATTCAAAACTGAGATATCCTAGGTGGCCTCAAAGATATTCTAGAATATTTATATTGGCTTATTTCTTTCGTTTGCTTGTGAATCAATTGAAATTTCACGTGTTATTACATTTTTTACCTAAAATATTAACTATTGCAATTTAACTAGTTTCCATCGTCAAATCGTACTAAAAGAAGAACAAATATGCTACAAACTGGGTGAATGTCCTAAATAAAATACTTCTCTGTTGTTTGTTTAAATGAAATGTTTCATTAAAAATTTTATACAATATCTTGAATTAGTTTAGGGGGCGTGGACGGTTACTTGCACTTTTCAGTACCGTCTATGGACAGGCTCAATCAAATCGAGCCTGCAACATTTTACAATTTTGCCGTGTTGGGCTTTCTTTAGGGATTCTGTTTTTCTCTATTTCATTGTCACATCCGTGTTATTTGGGCCGTGTGGCAGCTGTAAAAAGTCTCCCCGTACATTTAATCAATGATTTTATATTTTCGATCTTTGAAGATCGTTCAGCATGATAGGAAGCGTGGACGGTAACTTGCACTTTTCAGTACCGTCCACGAACAGGCTCAATCAAACCAAGCCTCCAAAATTTTACAATTTTGTCGTGTTGGGCTTTCTTTAGGGATTCTGTTTTTCTCTATTTATTTTATTCTATTGCAAAACACACATATAAAATAAATTAAACTTCAATTTGAATAAGTACTTTTGTAGAACATTTGGAATGGGTATGGAATTCAGTTTACAGGAAGGAAATTGACTGCTAGGTTGGCCATGTTTCCACATGTTTCATGTTACATTCTGCTTTCACAGGTGCTAGGGAGCGTGGACGGTAATTCTTTTATTCCAGTACCTTCAATCAACAGACTCTATCACATCCGGCCTGTAGCATTTTCAATTTTGCCGTTTTTGACATTCTTGAAGGATTTCAATGTTCATGGTAAACAGTGTTTAACGATAAGTATTTTCCCCATTGTTCTTTTACACTTTTTGTTGCCCTTCCTCTTTCTTATACCCATTTTTCCTTACACCTCTTGCTCATTTCTTTTCCACATCGGCCCCTTTTAGTAATATCATTTCACATTTCTCCTTCTTTTGCCGCCCTCGAGTCCTCTCCAGGTTTTGAGTTGGTGGCGTTCTGAGTGTCCTGTTGTCGTAGCTGGATTGTTTGGTGCCTTTTGGGTGCCCTACTTAAGTGTGTCGGGGGCCGCGTCCTGTGAATGTTGCCTTTGCCTTGTTGATCTTTATTCTTGTTTTTTTTTTTGTGTCGGGACATCGATGATCCTACAGGATAACTGATTTCAAAACTTTTAGTGTTCAAGATTGAAAATTGCAAACACTGGTGGTAGGGAGTGTGAGATGTTACACATTATATTTTTCTCATTAATAGACATAATCAAAACTAGCTGTAATTGTCGACAATTGCTGTGTCTCTATTGCTGTTGATTTTTTTCTATACCCACAACTGCAGATGCAAACTGTGCCAGCCATAAAATTTAGTTCAGTGTCCACAGGAAGTCAGTGTCGTAACATTGTTGTCAGGTAATTCGGGATCATTGATTCAAATTACTTAAGTTTTGATGATTGCATACTGCTTCCGTCGGTGCTAATTGGAATGGCAGATGTTGCATATTACATTATCACTTATGAACAGACCCAATCAGACCAAATCTGAAATTGACAACTTACTTTGTGTTATTGCTCTCAAAGTATCATCCCTTTTCCAGATTTCTGTTACCATAATACCAATATTAGTGGTTTATCTGAAATAGCTCCACTATTCTTTTGATAGTCAAACTAAAAGGGGTGTTTATTGATTGGAAAGTTCTTGTGAAATGATGTCCATGATTAAATATTTTATAATATGAATTTGTTAGGTCAAAGCAGCCCAATATGCAATCGGCATAGAGTGATAACTGGAGTTCCTTGCCTAAAAGCTGTGTAAAAGAAACAGAAAGATGTTTAGAAAAAATAAGGAACTTTTATGGTTTCTCAAATATAATTTCTGAGGAGATACATCTCGAGCGATCAATTTCCCTACCGTCCACTTTACCATTTATATAACATTGTCTTTATCTCCCCATTGGCTCAACAACAAAAAGATACTAGTAGAGATTTTGATGCTAAAACATCAAGTCGCCGGATAGAAAAATGATTGTAATTTCATAAATATAAGAAAATATCAGTTTAATGGTTCAAGTATAAAGAGCTGAGTAATGATTGCCACCGAGGCTTATAAGGCAAGTGATATGCTGGTACTTGTAATTCTACTGTTGTACCATACATTGAAATCCGTATGGGTTACTAGTTCAGAATCCGATAATTACCGACAAATAATTACCGATCATCGAATATTTGCAAAGTGACTATGAAAATATATATGTTTAATAATTGCATGGAACAATACAATTCTACTGTAAAAGTGTTGTCCATCATTATTATGCGCTATCGAAAAATATATAGTTTAGTTGAAAACAATACATGTATTCCCATATCATAGTTTTTTTAGTTTCAACTTTTCGGCATTTTCTAGTTGGGTGGTTCCAATATTCCTACTTGAATAATGTTGAATCACCATTAGGATATGTTGCCTGCTTTTTAAATTTGTCTTTTGACGTCTTATCTGTGATACGCAGGCTTCATAACCTCTGATCCCCTTTCAAAATTCCATTTTATTAAGTTCCGCCCATTGTTTTCTCGTTTAGGGCACACGCTTTTTATTACTTGGGGACCATAAGCCGCTTTTCATGGAATGGCACGGAAGTGTCACATTGAAGGTTCCATGATAACCGCCGTATGAACACATCTGCGGATGTTTCTTAATTCAAAATTTTACTATTTCATGTTTAAATGTTGGATTCTGCTTAAGCCGGTGCTAGGGGGCGTGGACGGTAACCTTGCACTTTCCAGTACCGTCCATGAACAGGCTCAATCAAACCGAGCCTGCAACATTTTCAATTTTGCCGTGTTGGGCTTTCTTTAGGGAGTCTGTATTTATCTATTTTGGGACCTTTCTGTTGAAAATGTGCCAGAGTTAAATCGTATACATACACATGCACAGTGCGTTAACTGGAGTGCAGGTATTAGTTTCTCGCACTCCGTTTAATTATTGTGACGGCAGAGAAAGGGAAAAGCGATAGAAATATCATATTCAGATGCTCGTCATTGGTTACCTTTTTCTCGGGTTTCACATTGTGACAACAGGGAAGGTTTTTTATGTTTGACTATGATACAAAAGAGAAAGAACATCAAAAAACTCTGCAATCTGATTTAATACTCGGGGGCTAAGACCCCTCGTACAAATCAGATCGTGTGTCGATGCTCTTTCTATTACAGTGCGATAAACTATCAACACGAAGCTAGTTTATTATGTTTTCTATGTATCTTATACGATTCTGGACCCCTACCGTCATACCGGCGCGACGGAAACTGACGAAATATAACAAAATCATCGATTACTATTATATATTTCAATAATCTGCCTCTTAAGCATAAAATTATTCCGTGATGTTCACGGTTTCTACCGGCGAATAATGAAAAAAATAGTTTACAGAGCTAGGTAACAAACTAAATGATCACATTTTATTTTCAAAAGTGATCAAACCATCAATTCATGGACGATAGTGGAAAATGTAGGCTCCCGTCAATGCACAATTGCACCGGCTTGGCAGTCTTCAACACTTAAACATGTACGTAATGGGTGAAAAAACATCCACTGTTGTAATCATACGACGATAATCATGGAACCTTCAACGGCCACTGTCCAAAAGTGATGTTGTCGTGTCATGTAAAAAAACTCAGTAGAGTCCTTGTAACGTTATTTAAAAACATATCTTCAGCGAAAAACAATTACGAATCCACAGACTGTTTATTATGTCAATGATATGAAGTGTAATCGATGATGTCAGTTGCGAAACAACTAATGATACCACTTAATTATCAATATTCGCTTTATATTTTTATTGAAATTGAAAACGAAAATTAAACATTTTGACAGAGTCTTGGACAAAATACGATAAAGTGCGATGAAATATAATACTAAAAGCTCTATAAACGATATAATATTATGATATACTTATAGGATTTTAGCATATACCATCATAAAATATAGTCGTAATTGAGTTCTACTTACGATGTAAGGCAGGCTAAAATACAATTTTTTTATCAATATCCCTTGTATGCGCCACGGAAATCGTGCAACTGATGGCTGGATGTTTTAAGTACTTATCAAATACCAGGTTTGCTTGCATATATTGACAATTACAGCTATACTAAACATGTGTATAATCAATAAGCAAACAAAGTTATCTATCAAGAGCCTTTTTGATACGCACATAAGTTTGCAATGTATTGATAAAGGAAGATAAAATTTCGCTGAGGTATCACATTGAGAGGTTAGACTGAAATTACGCAGTACATGTATATATTATATATAATTATGTGTAATTATAATTATTGTTTAAAACACAGGCACGCGCCTTTTGTGAATACAAATACAGTGTGGCAATACCACGTGACATTGACGTCATTTTCGGCATCATTTCCAAGACAAATGTTGCTCGATTCGGAAAAGAAAATAGCCGTAAGTATTTTATTTCTGTACCAATTTCTTTGGGATATGCACCAGTCTACGGGGAAAAATATAAGCTTTCCACAGAATATTGGATATTTGTCCGTTTATAAGACGTTTTATCAAACACTTTGCATAACCTTGGAAGTTGCTTGTATCAGAGCAGGCTTCAGTTGCAAGCTATTTCGTTTTCTGGCGTTATCTGGTCTACGCCATGAATAAAAAGTCAGGTTTACATCAACCGGGAGTACGGAAGGCAAAACTCTACCTTAATGTGTTCATATTTTTATTATGAATGACATAAATCTTATATTTTTCTTCAATTGTCAATTCTGGCACCAGTTCCAAGTCGAAAAAAAGGACTACAGTTTAAAGCAGATTTTAGAATCCGTTGCAAATGCAAAGCAACATGCCTACCGTTCTCTTTCTATAATTATGTTAACCATGAAAAACATTTTATTTACTATACGATTTACATAAACACAAATGAATATTTAAATGATTTTTACTCGCTGCGCTATAAGTGATTTTAAAAGTCGTAAAATTGTTGTCTGTATTTGTAAAGAAATTGATTTGCTCTTTAATCATTGTTCTTTCACGGTAATGATTATGAAAAATCTATTTGTGTCATGTAGCAATACTAAACGTGGAATAGAAAACAGAAACCCTAAATATCGCCCAAAACGGCAAAATTGAAAATGTTGATTGACTTAGCTAGCCTGTCCAATGAACGTGCACATTCAGGATCACTTCGATTTGTATGCTGTGAAAAAGGGTTACGCCTCAACGCGGCAATTTTAAAGTAAAAAAAAAAGAGCTATTTATACGTATAACCATATACATGTATATATAAAGAACCTGTAGCAATGTTTTAGTATGATAGATTCAGCTTTTTAACACAGTGGCACTCGTTGATAAAAAATATTTTTACATCCTGTTTTCATACCCACGGTAACCGTTTTTCGTGAACTGGATATAACTTCGTTAACTTAAGAACACTATTAAATACTATTTATTTTATAATTGCATTTATTTCTGTTGATAAACTGCATATCTGACAAATTTAGTTAATTATATCAGTCAACTCAGCTTTATCAGAGAGCTCACCAATATACATTGTAAAGAGAGGAAGGGAACGGAATATTTATGGTTTGAAAACATTTAAATCGAGTAGAACCTTTTTAACAATAATGTCTCTTTCAACTGAATAAAAACGATATAGGGCTATTTGGGACTATTTCTTATCGATGTGGTCATTGGCTGTAAATGCATGGATTATTACACGCGGCATGACCTGCAGATGTCCTCAACTGGCTTTTTGTAGCATTTTAAGATTTAAAAACGGACAACACATTAAAATCTAAAACAAGATAAACATGACGCATATACTAAATAAGTCAATTATCTGATATGTAAATAAAGCAGTAAGTCATTTGACAGTTGAAGGATAAAAATTGAATATACTCTTTAAATGAAATCGCAATTTTAGTAAGCTTATGTTAGCTATCAATTATTCAATGGACGCATCAGTGTCATATGGACCCTTGTCTTAGATCTTGCCGATGTTGCTATTACAGATATTAATGTAAATATTTATATAGGTATTGATAATCATTGTTATTTCCGTCTTTTTGAATGTTTTGTTTTCAAGAAATTTGACTGTGATCGATGGCTATTGGTTAAATCATTTATCTGTTTACTATTTTTTAATTTGTTTACACCACATGGCGTCCATTCTCGTTCTTATTCATGGCTATTTTGGGTCTTTTTGATAAATAGAGAATCATAAGTAATGCAACTAAGTAACAATACTATCAGATTTACACGGCAAAGTTCCAAGTTCAAATTGTGATTTCGTTTATCAAACTCTATAGAAATTTATTTTACAACAATTCCAGAAAAAATATAAACCTTTTAAAAGTCTCTCTTTTGAGGACAGAAAAACCTATTTGTCACATTCACAAGTGTCAGTGTTTGTCAGTAACTCTTGACAAAAATAAAGTGAAAAAATACCTTTAGCTTTACAACACTCGCGTTAAAGTGTAACCCTTTCCATAGCATACATATGGTGGCATATTTCTGCCACCAGATAACCATATAACTAACTAGTTAATTATCAGGTTAACTAGTTAAGTAACTAGTTAACCTCTTAATTAACTAGTTAATTATCAGGTTAACTAGTTACGTAACTAGTTAACCTCTTAATTAACTAGTTAGGTATCAGGTTAACTAGTTACGTAACTAGTTAACCTCTTAATTAACTAGTTAGGTATCAGGTTAACTAGTTACGTAACTAGTTAACCTCTTAATTAAACTGTTAGTTATCGGGTTATCTGGTGGGAGAAATATGCCACCATACATACAAACGTGTTTTTTTTATTTTAACTCTTTCTCTTACTGAGAGCACATATATTTCTTATCAATTTCGCCATTGTGAAATAGAATAAAACACATTTTACTACATAGGATAAGATGAGCAATACTTAAAACATCTCCAAAACGAAACCAAAATATTATTTTCCGACAGGACATCTAAGTGATTTGACGTACACTATTGCGATACAAGTATAAGTGTTATTGCTTTAAGGAACAATCAGTTTTTTCACAATCTCTCTGTGAAAGATCAACAATGATAAACTAAATTGTAGAAAGAGAACGGTAGGCATGTTGCTTCGCATTTGCAACGGATTCTAAAATCTGCTTTAAACTGTAGTCCTTTTTTTCGACTTGGAACTGGTGCCAGAATTGACAATTGAAGAAAAATGTAAGATTTATGTCATTCATAATAAAAATATGAACATATTTAGGTAGAGTTTTGCCTTCCGTACTCCCGGTTGATGTAAACCTGACTTTTTATTCATTGCGTAGACCAGATAACGCCGGAAAACGAAATAGCTTGCAACTGAAGCCCGCTCTAATACAAGCAACTTTCAAGGTTATGCAAAGTGTTTGATAAAATGGCTTATAAACTGACAAATATCCAATATTCTGTGGAAAGCTTATATTTTTCCCCGCAGACTGGTGCATATCCCAAAGAAATTGGTACAGAAATAAAATATTTATGACTATTTTCTTGTCCGAATCGAGCAATATTTGTCTTGGAAATGATGCCGAAAATGACGTCAATGTCACGTGGTATGGCCACACTGAAATAATGGTTGAATATTTGAAACCATGTTAAGTCTATTCAAACTAATGATAAACACTACCTTAATGTTATGACATAATGGGCTAAGCAGGGGCTTCAACTTATTTTGCTACTTATTTGATACTTTACTGAAAACCCCTTCCAAATTATAATGGTCGACATAAACAACAATAAAAAAGAACAACTTAAAATTCTAAACTATCCTAAAGTATGTGTGTTCGGAACATAAACATGTAATCTATTACATGATTAATCCTATATAGCATAGATAAAGATATATTTCTAAATCATTGTACAAGCCGGCACAGTACACCTTTCAAAGGGTACTTATAAATAAATTTAGGTTAATATACAGAATTATACGGTTATAACATTATTTATCAATAAAAAATCACATGAAAGCAATTACCATTATTTCATCATCAACTAGTTAGTTCTCTTGCATGTATCTATCTCTTATCTGTTATGTAATTCAATTGCAGATTAACTAAAAAACAAACGTTCTAATAGGTAAGTCTAGTCACTTTGTTGTTTTATCCAAGCATAAATCATTTCCATAAATAAATGACAAAGTTAAGAAAATATAAGCAAAATTCAGTCAAGATGATTTAAGTAGTAACGGTCATATCACAACTATTCAATAGTCTGTTAGGTCACGAGTGTTGTTTGTCAACGTAGGAATTAAAATCCGCACAAAAATAACAAATTTATTGCAACTTGACCAAAATAAAATGATTTGATCTTGACTGTCAAGGACACTTATAGCTCAAGGTTAAACTCAGTAAAATGTTTAAGAAGGTCTTGGCCAAAAAGGTTGTTTAGTTACAGCCAATTTCAGCAATAGCCAGTTTAAAAAATCAATGATTTGACATTTCACGTCGAGGTTAACATGAGTCAAGATCAATTTGAGTTTGATATACATAAAAGTCCTGATGTTTTGTCTAAATATGAAGTACAGCCATTTATAAATAAAAATGCTATAGCCAGTTACAGGAAAACCAAGCAAATTTTATAAAATTGACCTTGACGGTCGAGGTCAATTAGGGACCAATGTCACTTCTAAATTATTCAGTATGTTTGGTAGAACGTCTTTTTTGCCCAGGTATAAATCAAATCCACACAAAAGTAACAAAATTATGATAGTTTGACCAAAATTCAATAATTTGGCATTGACAGTCAAGGAGTTTAACTTCAGAAGGTCTTTTCCAAAAGAAGTATGAAGATAATCCCCTTGTCCCAATGGGTAATTGTGGCCAAGTATGAACACAATACACTAAGAACTTAAAAGTTATGATCAGCGTTAAAGTTTTGGGGTCGGCAAATGAAATTTCCGATTTTATTTTAAATGCAATAATATATATACTAACTTTCTCGTTGCGTCATTTAGCTGATATTTTGATGTCGAACATCAGAATTATTTTTATGGACTGACACGGCCAATTATTTCTGGATTCAATGCATTAATTTTTTATTCAAATGTTTTATAAATTTTGAAAATATCTTTAATTATTTTTACCCTATTATTTTCAAAAAAGTTGCATATTGAGTG